TCGCTCCACAAGGGGTCACAGCTCAAGATTGAAGAAGCCGCAAGTCCAGAAAACCGTGAGGGCAAAGTTTTTCGGAGTGAGGGTTGTAAACTCTTGGAACAATCTACCAGAGAGTGTTGTGACGGCACCGAGTGTGAGCTCTTTCAAGAGAAGACTTGACCAACACTGGAGCGGGTTCAGGTACATTCAGGAGCCGGTGCATGCCCAGCATTTGCCAACAGTGCGTGACAGAGACGTGACCGATCGCCCGGGCGGCTAGCGAGCCGATCTTTTGGTGAAGAATATAAATGAAAAGAGACGTGACCGATCGCCCAAGCGGCTAACAAGGCGATCAGTGGCGAAGAGGATAAAAGTAAAAGTATTACTGACCACCTCCGAACACAAGGACGGCTAAAAATAGCCACAGGCGGTCACAGTCAAGGTCACTTTCCCTTTCTTGTCACTGGCAAATGGGGGTGGGGGGGATGATAATAGCAGCTGTGTTTATTACGGTATGTTAGACTGGTTTATAATACATTTTTATTATTTTAATATACCGGTAATCTTCATTTTAATCCAGCTTCCCAAACGTAAGTTTCAGTATAAAATAATTAGTGGTACTGTAGGACCTTGTGAGTGGTTTACTGTATACATAAATATTACATAAATTATTTCTGCAATTCTTCACAAACAAAACACATAAATCAATTGAATATGTGATGTCGAACGTGAACTGTAAACACTGTGTGTGATGTAAAGAGAGCGCGGGTGTAAAACGCTATGTAATTTGATTTTCTCTTTTATGTAAAATTTTACAATTTACTTATAATATATAGGTATACTGTATACATAAATATTACATACATTATTTCTGCAATTGTTCACAAACAAAACACATAACTCAATTGAACATGTGATGTCGAACGTGAACTGAAGCCACAACAACCGTTCGAGTGCAATCGCGTTAGAGCAAACGAGTTCGCGTTTTACAAATATCGTTCCTCAATTCATAAATCGCGTTCGAGCAAATTCGCGTTGTCAAAACACGCGTTATAGCAGAACTCACTGTACTCTAGGTACGCCCCTGCTGTACTGTACTGTATTGTCACTAGTAGAAACATACAGTATGTGTGCATTCTACACCACTGACTGAATGCACACCACACTTTGTCAAAATAACCAGAGTGAAAAGGATCAAAGGGTGATTTATATGATCAGAAATAAAGACAGGGATATATACGGTATGTAAGGAAGGGTTGTAATAAGGTAAGGATTGAGATTGTTTTTGTAACGTACAATACATGGCTTAAAAATGAACCAAGGTAGAGCACATGTTTTGATGTAAGAGTACAGTACTTATATAATCTTGTGAACAGAAATAAAATGGGGTTTACTAAATATGTAAAAAAAATGTTAAGGAAGGTACAATAACTGAAAGAAGAATTAATACAGTACTTGTACAATATATATTGATAGGGGATGAAAGACAGGCAGTTATCAGGGAAGAGTGTGGGTGTATAATGACAAATTCCTTATTGACTTACATAATTGTAATAAGAGGTTTCCTTCTGATGAACATTTCTTTCTACCATAAACACAAATGGAGAAAGGATGAGAGATTGAATGGAAAGTTACTAAAGGATTATGAAGTAATGATGAGACAATCTGGAAGAAAATGGTAGATGTGGAAGTAAAGGTAATGAGAGTAAAGATGTTGAACGTTTATGTAGTACATTACTGTACACTACCCGTACTCTGTACTAGTGAAGTTGGATGGTTTGTATAAATTACTGTAGTCAAAAGGGATAGGGTTGATAAGAGTTACAGTGAAGGATCTAAGAGGACTGGAGATACAGTCCAAGTATCGAAAAAGTTAGAATTTGTACTATGTGATTATTTTTTAATGAAATGGTGTACCTGTATGTTGCAATACCATTTACAGTATTAAATACACAATGTTTGTTGAACTGCAAGGTTATGATGTGTGGTGAACTATTGGTGGAGATGAGAAAATTTAAATACTGTACTGCACAGTACATGGCCAGTGATAAGTGAAATAAGGTGGAAAGGGTAAATGTAACCATACAAATAAAATTCCATTTTCCATCAGTGTTTCCCAATTTGACCTACAGGAGTGGAACACTGACAAATTATAGAACACAGTTGTATAGCTCAAGCTGCTGCAATAAATTACCTGAAAAGTAATTGTTGTATGCATTAATGTGAGAAATTTTTAATAGTACAGGGTGTGTGGGAAGGCCTGAGATGGTTTGGTCATACACACATGATGTCATTTGGCAATATGGCATAGAGTACAAGAGCGGGGCAATAATGGCACAGGACGGGAAAGGTACAGAAATACAACGGGAAAACTCTTACGAGACAGAGGAAATGTAGTAGGCTGGGGAGATGTGTTCAGATGGTCCAGCCTGGATGTTTATATCTCAAGGCCATTCCCAAGGGTAAGCTTCTTGAGGAAATAAGATGTCAGAGTTACAGTACAGTACAGTACTGTACTTGTAAGTAGAGATGGAAGTTGCTATTAATTAGCAGAATTACATTGCTTCTGCTTCACTTACCTTGTATCTGTCCAATCTTACGAAAGTGTGTTCTCTCTTGAGAAAAAATTTATATTTGTCATGAGCAGGATGAGAAGCCATTGGGCTAGAGGCTCAGGAGGTTCCAGAAGCTGAAAGCTTGGAGGCACTCGGAAGTTAGTTGAAGATTTGAAATAAATATTAATTTTTTGTACTGAGCAGTACAGTACTAGGATTCAAAACTAAAGGAGTAAAAAATGAGGCCATCGAACTACTAATTAACCAAGAAGATTTATGAACCATATGAGAAGACTACCTCAAAATACTGTACACCAAAGAAGAAAGGGAGCAACAATTGACTATGGTAATTTCCAAGAGTCTGATATTGTTGATTGTTAATAGCAGCTCTCAGTAACCTTATGAACAGCTCATGATATCCCAATAGAACTGCTTGAGTACAAGGGAGAGGATGTAACACAAGAATCTCTGAATTCTTAGAAAAGTGTGAAGAGAGCCATAAATCTACAGTATCTCCACTCTACAATATTTTTTTGACACTATGATCAACATCTGTTTACTAAGACATTAATCAGATTACATGAGAAGACTATAACTATATTGCAACAAAAGATGGATATAAAAGACAGCCAACTTTTACTCAATCAACAGCCCATAATCCTTGAAAACATTACACATTTGCTGACTCCATATTTTGCAAACAAGTTAACAGCTGAGAGCTCTCCATCTTCTTAAGTGAAATATCTGCCAGATACTAACGCTTAAAACAATAATGATGGAACTGCTTCCAAATGCTGTATTACTCTTTCTTAGATAATTTACCATAACTTCTTGACTAATCCAAATCTGCTCTATAACTCAATCGATTTTCTTCACTGCCAACACAACACAAGGTTCTCTTTGTTCCTCAACTTTGCAATTCTCGACTCTTGCTTTTACTTTTATCCTCTTTGCCAATGATCGGCTTGTTAGCCACTTGGGTGGTCGGTCATGTCTCTGTTACACATTGTTGGCAAGTATTGGGCCTGTATAGGCTCCAGAATGTACCGTATCTGTACCTGCGACAGTGTTGGTCGAGTCTGGTCTTTATTGAGCTCCCACTTGACGCTGTCACAACACTCTCTTGGAGACAAGATGAGATGGGGTGACTGTACATTTACCGTATGTCTTGCTTATTATTGAATATTTGTGTTATTTATCTGTGTCATACATAATTGTTTAAAAATATGTATACATTTATATCATATAATGTTTGGTTGTCCATCAGAATAAATCATGCAGGTCCCCTGTGTTTTCCTGTATATACTGGGATTACCACTGAATCTAACATATTTTGTTGGTGCCTTACCTTTTTTTTCATAAAAATGTATTGATTTTGACCAGTTTTGATAAGATGTGAATAAAAAGCACAACTCATTTGACTTAAAACACCCATGTTCTTCGTGTTCACTTTGTTAACTTTCAAAAGTAAATTGTCCAAACAAATATGGCAATGTCTTCATTTGCATCAGATATTTGTAGACTTAAAGTGGTACATATAGTGAATGAGGTTTTGCTATTCGTGTAGCAACATAAAGAAAGAATCTTGGGGTATGGTAAGCAAGCCCAGGATAAAGGAACTTACTGGTAAGATTAGACTACCATGAGCATGCACTATATTGTACTGGGTAGTTATTGTTCGCCGTAAATGACCCAGGGACAGGGTTGTTCGAATCTCTGAAAGTTTGTAAGTAGAGGAGCACCTGTATATACCTGGAACTGTACAGTATATATATTTTTTCACCTATAATGATATACATTTCTTTTTATATTCACATTACTGTATTCTTTAGTTTTTAAGCTGTATAAAATGACACAACTTCATGGGAGTCTGAATTTTCAAATTCATCTTTCAAGTACACTCGCCACAAAAATTTCTTGAACGCTCTAAGGGTCATACAATGACAAACCGAACAAGAAATCTGAACATTGCTCTCTGAGGAAGTTTTATTGGAAATTAAATTACTTCTTTTCACCTGTAAATACTTACAAAGATGAGCAACATATATTATTATGAAATATTGAGTCACTTCACAACCAGACATACCATCCATTCTGAGATGACATGAGCCACAGTGCTCATTCTGAAATCTGTTCTGCCCAGCTGTTTGAAAACTTTTTGTGGAGAGTGTATTTATAATTGAGGTTCATTCTGCAAAAGCTAAAGCTTAGAAGGTTCTAATTATATAAATGCAAGCACCAATTAATCACTTTGTAAAATTAATGCATATCTTTCTGAATGATATGAAGATCTGCTTTTCACCATGTCTGAAGCAGTTGATGAGGCTGCTTGCAAAGAATACCCCGGAGTAATTTCATATGGAAAGGATAAGGGATACTCCAACAAGTTACCCAAAGCTGAGAAGTAGAGGGAGGGAGCATGACAAGCCAGAAAGTTCCCAATAGAGGAAATAATAAAAGGTGAAGCATGGGAAAATAGTATTTATTAAAAGGATTATATTAAGTTCAAGAAAATGCAGCAGATACCAAGTGGCTCTGCAGAGTGAATGTGACCACAGAAAATAACCATCAATGGGAGGAGAGGAAATAATCTTTCACCTCTCCCACGGTAGTGCTTCCATGGGCGACCGAGGCCAACCGGTCTACTACCTGTGCCTACCAGTCTTACCTGTACCAACCAGTTTAGAACTTGAGACAAAACCAGTTTACTACTTGTGGGCGTATCCAGTATAGTATTTATGGGCAACTGGTCTAGTACTTGTATCAATCAGTCTAGGACCTGTGGGTAACTGGTCTAGTATGTGTGCTAACTGTTTTACTACTTGTGCCAACTGGTCTAGTACCTGTGGGTTACTGGTTTACTACCTATGCCAACTAGTCTAGTACCTGTTAGCAACCAGTCTACTATTTTTATATTAGCTAATATTTGTGGTATTAACATTACAAAATTATTTTGCAGAACAACAGAATTTCCCCATGAACCTATATTGTACAGGTTTTAACCTATACAGTTCCTATAAATCCTTGTTCATGAACTTTACTGTAATGAATAATTTAAAATCCTATACCTGTATATATAACTAAGAGGAGCATATAAATTTGATAAAAAAATACCCTCCATGATGATGATCTGTCACTACTGCAAGATCCAGTTAAAAATAATATCACTCTAACATAGTCAAACTCAGTAGTAGTAATAATAATACTAATGCACCACAAGTATACATCAGATGAGTGTTTTACTGCCTCTCAGTGAATCAAATTATTTTAAAATTAAGGAAAGCATCATTTCCTCTGCAAAATATCCAGGCTAATGCTAAAAAAAAATTAAATAAGCTCCTTCATCACTCACTGTTTGTCTTGTACATCTCTGCAAATTATTTTAGTTACTTGGAAAATTTCTTCCCATGGTTTCTCATAAATATCGACATTACAAATACTGCTGGGTTTACTAGTGTCCTTCTCACACTGACTCAAGTCCTGCACTTGGGCTTCAGTCCTACAGGTCGTCCAACTCACTGCTATCTTCAGTTTCCAGTTATATCCAGCCACTACCTGCTCAAAATAAGGAAGAATTAGATATTCAAATAAAAATAACATTTTGTTACATGTAATACTATCCTAAACCTTTCATAAAAAAAAATCATGCAGTAAACCCTCGATAACTCAGACTTTCATTTACTCGGCATGGATATGGTCTCGGAATGTACAGCATAACTTGGGGAAATGCCGAGATGTATAAAATTATCTGGGAAAATCTCAGCATATCTGGCCACCTGCATCAACTACCATGTTTCTGTGTCACCCAAAGACTATGTGAGAAAGACGAGAAAGCATCTACCTTTATCGAATAAAAAAACGTGAGCCACTGAGCTCCGATCAATGCCATCTGTTGGCAACGCGGTTAACTAAAAGCCCGGGGCGTGTGAGGGTAGCGTGTCCATGTTTCCATGGTAACCAGCAGAGTGAGCTGATATTACCTTGATGTCTTTGCCTTGACACACACACACACCGGGTACACACTGACACACACACACATACAATATCACACAGTAAATTCTGTATGATCAATGATATATAGTAACGGGAAACACAAGCTCAGGGTGATCTGTTTTTGTACGTGTGCATATGGCGCACCGGTGATGGTGACGGCCACTCATGGTTAAATGTTCCGGTCTTCATGTAAACAAACAGTTACAGCTACAGCATCAAATTCAGCAACTACAGGTTCAGTAACAGCTTCAGCAACACCTATGCTAACATTATGGAAAGCTACAGCTTCAGCTAGAGTTGAACCTGATGACTTGGCAACTTCGTCATCCGAGTAAAAACACACACAACAACATTGGCTGTCCTTATGTTTTCAACTTTATTACCACTGGTGAGTAGAATTTGTTTTTTAATTCAGAAACATTAATTAAAACAAATATGAACAATATTAAGTGTTGCTTTCATATTCTTATGTAGAGTAATGACAATATGTTTTCACATGTGCTCATTTACATACGTTGGCGTTGCGGTCTCACTTTTTTCTTTACCATTAATGGTTAGCTACTTCAATTGTTCCATTTATTAACATTAAATAACATTACTTAAACCAACCATATTATTTTTTTTTTACATTAATTTTACTACAGCTACAACCTGGGTCTTATTTTCTTCAGTTTTATATGTAGAACCATCGTCCCGGGTGTAAACACTGACGACAACAATGGCGTCCCATCTCTTCTGTGACTACATATTATTATTTATTTATTTTGTACTGTATAAGGAGCATTAATAACCATGATTTAAAGACTATAGTTTTAATTTTTCATTAATTTTACTTTTTTGGAGGAAAAGGGTAAAATACCACACAACATATATGAAAAAGGCAGACCTTGGAACGCATCTAATTAGTAGAACGTCGATTTAAAGTGATTCAATTTAAGATTATTGATTTAAAGAGACCCACAATTAAGGACAATGTTTTAATTTAAAGCGAATCTTTCCTATTTTGCACGAGTCAATCTGGCTCATCATTTAAAATTTTGAGCCTAATGTTTCTCTGGGCACACTACACTGTCCTAAGGGCAAAGCTGGACTTTTACATGTACTCAAAATAATGTACTTAATGATGACTAAAGTTTTTGTCTAGTGCAAACTATAGCATGTTTATGTTCAAATTAATCACTATCTTATAACAATTCCAGCTATGTAAATTTTATTCTCCCCGGTCACTTCTGTGACATTTTATAAGCAAAAAACATCAACTCAAGCTAAAGGACATAAATAAACAAATAAATACTTCACTAGACCTTCGGTGCCAACTGTCAAACATGTCACTGTCACTTACCCTCCCCCCCCCACCTCTTCCCAGCCAGAGTTTGGTGTTTTAGGCTTAAAGTTTTTATCTTATATAATGTCACAGACTAAAGTTAGGAGAATATAATTTGTATTGCTGGAATCCTTGCAAGACAGCGAATAATTTGAATATAAATGTCATATATTTTGCACGAGATAAAAAATTTTGCTGTGTAATAAAATTCTTAAATTATAACTAAAATTTGTATGTCTAATGCAAGCTATAACATGTTTATATTCAAATTAATCACTATCTTATAAGAATTCCAGCAATGTTAATTATATTCTCCCATGGCAGTTCAGTGACATTTTAAAAGAGAAAACTTAGTCACTCTTAGGGACAGATAAATAAATAAGCACTAGACCTTGGCATCAACTGTCAAACATATCACCTCACCTCCCTCCCTCAAGCCCCATCTTCCCAGCCAGTAAACAGACCATTTCACATCCCTTAATTTTAGCTGTGTTGATTTACGAGTGTTTGTTTTAACATAATACTACAAAAAACAATGTTTTGTCTATTCTAGGAGATGGGCTGAGGTGCATCTGGGTAGACTCTCAGTCTTTTTAGTATTTTGTGTTTCTCTCAAGTACCAAACTAAATTATTCCATTGAAACAACACTTCGATATAGAGCAAATTCGGTTTAAAGCGACCTCTCTTGGAACGTTCTACTGTATTATTGCTTTATTTTCATGGTAATTAAGGATTCATTATACGTTGATTCACCTTACACTGCAATATTGGAGGACACATTACCGTCGTTATTCGAGGCTTTAGTCACCTTCCATACCCCTTCATTCTTCATCAGCAGTGCCGGTAAGTGTTACTTTTTTACATTTAGTAATTACATGTACACATATATGGGTCGATAATTTTTTATTGTTGTATTTTTGTAGGAGGGGGAGTGCCTTGATAAGTCAGAATTTGGGATAACTCGGCAAGGCCAGAGCCCCAAATGTGCCGAGTTATCGAGGGTTTACTGTACAAGTAAAAGAAAAATCCATTACAATTAAATTTATATGGGATAATTTTAGCAAATTTTCAACATTTTATATACATGTACCTAAAACGAAAAAGAACATAAGAATTGATAAACACATTAAATCTGTCAATGACTAATGAGGAATGACTTTTACTACCATACAGTCCAAGATATTTAGAGCTTGTAACTATATCATAATATTTCATCTTCAATAGCCAATGTTTGACCATATTTTGCTTTTTTATAAAACAATACAAAATTTTTTATCTTTTCAGTGAGAACAAAATCAATCTAACCTCCATTATCTATTTACAGTTTTTACAGACATTACAGTATTCCATCTCCAAATATTTAAGTGTGATTATTAACAGTCACTATAAAATAATCAATCTATAAAAGATTCCCCATTTCCAATTATTCAAGTGAAAAACCTTAACGTCATCACAAGAACAATACAGTACACTATTTACAATGGAATACTGTACATAAAAAGGTTTTACTTTATGGAGACTTTCAGTATCTCTACAAGAGTTCATATTTTAACAGGGTCACTGCCCCCATCCCATATTCATTATACATCCATTACATCTTGTAGGGCATATATATAGGATCTGTCTTTATCACCCAAACCTCAAGGATAAAAACACAAACCTACAGTATGGATAAGGCCGGCACAAAATAGTATTTTGGAAAACTGACCTATGAGCCTCAGTGAAAACATATTCAACTCTCACCCATTAATTCTGATGCAACCTGCAGCTATCACTTAGGGGTAATATACCCTTGCTTAACCAGAAACTTCTATATTTCCATACAAAATCCATCAATATTAGAATACTTAAGTACTTCATTCACTAATTTATTCTTTTTCTCTGTGAGTAAACAGTTTTGAGTATCCGTCCTTCTTGTTCATGAAATTTTGAGAACAGTCCCTGTATACAGTGGGGTATGCTATAATGAACGGATCCTACTACGAATATTCCTATAACGAACGGTTTTACCTATAAAATTGAGAATGCTATAACGAACGAAACTCCTACAACGAACATTATGTAATTTTTTTTTTTTTTTTTAATTTATTGTTTTTGTATTACAAATATTAATGACATTCTTTATTTCAGGGGTTTAGATGCATATTTATGCACTTTTTTACAATTTTTACAATTTTATATTATATTTTTCAGTGTTAAGTGGTTGTATTTGGGGGCCTGGAACGGATTAATCATATAACGAACGAATGCTATAACGAACAAGGTTCTAGAACCAATTAGATTCGTTATAACATACCCCACTGTACCTGGTTAGTGCTGTACTGGTTAATATTTGTTTACTTCTCTTCTGCTTAATCCTTTCATGCCTTTGTCCCTCTCAACCTATTACACTTACTTAATTAGTAATTATTGTGTTTATTTTCCTTAGTCCTGTATTGGAAGAAAGAAAATGTAAACAATTTGCATGATTTAAAAACAAGCAATCTCTACTGACCTGCCGCTGAGCACTGATCACATTATCAACAATCCTGTTGTATTCAGACCCTGAATCTGCAGATGCAAGGGCACGTGCTGCTACACTATTGACATCTTCAGAGAGATCTACAACTTCATATCCCCCTGCAGCAGCTCTCTTGCCTCTGAAGTTTGGGAGTTCATCGGAATCGTCCTCATCACTATCATGACGATGGAAGTTCATCCGACCGGACGGGTGATAGAAACGCTGTTACGTGAAAAAGTTATGTTGATTTATAAATTGTTCATCTAGCGTAATACCTGTACCTCATTTTAATAAAAAACAAATAACATTATAAAATGTGCAATCTGAAATAAACATGACACCATTTGATATCAAATTAATTTACCACTAAACAATATCATCCAGATTCAACTGACAGCAAATATTGCACCAACACTGCTTTGCAAACAAACATATCATTTAATTTATATGTATTAGTTGAGAAAGCAACATACTAAAGTAACACATAATGGAATATAATAATCATGTAGACGTATCCTGGGTGTCAAATAAACCTGGGTCACAATGTTGACCCACTTTATCAAAACTAAATTCTAATGGCCAGAACCCATTGTTAACAATATTTACTTCATCAGAATCATCTTCGTTGGACTCGTGGCTGTTGCTGGATGCCGGTCCGGATGGATCGTAGAAACGCTTTAGGAAGGAAGAGGTACAACTGCCATTAGCGATGCCTCTTTAATGGCAATGGACCAAGTTTCAAGCATATGAAGATGCATGACGAATGTCATGTGGAAAAATATTTAAGGATGAGGCTGAAATTACATACTGAAGGAAAAGTATTGAAGGTAGCGATAAAAATGGTAATATTCATAACTATGCACAGTCACAGCCCAGTAAGAATTGCTTTTGGGAGGAGTATGATAGATACATACAAAGAGTAGTGGAAATATGAGTATGAAGCTAAATGAAAGTTAATATTGATAAGAAAAGAAATATCAACAGTTTTTAAGGAACAAGGGTGAAATTTTGAAAGTAAGACTTTTTACATTGCCATCATAAACATGCTAATAACCAATTGCCACATTCAACTCCAAAGCTATTTCCAACACCCTTCTGGCATAGCAACATGTTCAGCTCAAAGGATAATCTGCCTTTTACCACTCAAATTTTGTAAGTTTGAAGACTTCAGATGCACATAAACCATGCAGTTAAATAACTATTTATATATATTTTTTAAAGTTTGGAAAGAACAAACAGCAAGCTGTAATGTTGTCAAGAAAACTTACCTCATTGCTCTCATCACTCTCATCACTGCTCCTGATCAAAAACTGACTCTGAAACACTGGCCGTGCATGAGCAGATGGATGTACTTTGGGGTATAGAACTTCAACAGAATCATCTGCCTCAAAGAAATCATCCTTCTCAGCACACCGTAGATCAGTCACAACTTGTCTCTTGAGCCATGGTTGGGTGAGGACATTTGCTTCACACACCTACAATTTGATGAAAGGGAATTACAAAAATATAAAAAGTGAGCATCCTAGATAGATGGATTAATCCAAGAAGAAAGTAGAAAAATCAATGAAAAAAGTAGTGAAAGTAAAAATTATACCCTGTATAAGGTTATAGTAATACCTGAGAAATAGATAACAACTTGAATGATGTCCAACACTATGCAGTACTACATCCACTGCAGGAAATTTATATTCCTTTACTGACAAACTGATGAATAATGAAAGCCAGAAGACAAACACTCACGTACAACCCAAAGATAATAATCTGGTAAAACCAATTTTTTTCTTTTAAGAAAGACTTAATATTGACATAAATTATTATCATTTAAGTTAAGGTAATGAGAAACTTGTAGAAATTTTATTACAGTACTTCTAACATTTATGCTCAATTCATTAAGGATTACAGTTGGTATAAATATATTCTGATGAGTAGTTCTCAGAGAACAATGTTCAATTTGTTTTTAAACTCTCTACAGTACTTACTCAACACACAGTGCACAGGTTATTTAAGTCTATCCTGGATAAAGCCATCAGGTGCCTAGGCAGAATCTTACCCTATACAATACAGTGTATCTATAGTAGATCATGGAAAGAAAGATCACACAAAAAAGTGGCAATACTTTTTGTTTAAACAAGTCTTGTGTGTGTGTTCACATGTGCCTCCATGCAATGTCTTCCAAGTATTTTGACAAGACTTTTATATGAGCAAATACATCATTTGCCTGCAAAACCTATGGTTTATTTTAGTGACTGTCAAGACAGTTCTGTTGTTGGTCTACAACTGGCCAGTTTATCTACTGTACTCTTATCTTTATATCTAATTAACTATCTACTGTCCTTTCTCTCTCTCATCTTACCATAGGTTCTTCACCAATGTCTGGAACACAGCGGGCCTTGTTGATGCGACGCTTGTACTTGGGGCACACTGTCTCCTTCAGCTCAACCACAAGGTGATACTTAATTCCTGAAGCAATCTGAAGAAATAGAGATGATACATCTTTTTCAGAAACTTATAAATCTATATCATCACAATGAGTACAAACTATCTTAGAGTAATCATTAACTATTATCATTAAAATGACCTTCATGCTATCATACATCTTGATCATGACAATGACCAAGTTAGCTTACAAGCCATATATCACAATGGTCTACCTCTATAGGGTTCTGTATCAAAAAAGGCATATCCCAAGTTCCCAACTTTTAGCACAGCAACTCCAGAAGTTAACTCATTAATGCAGTACATGTGTACTTTGTACTGTATAGTATATATATTATCTTTCTCATTCATTCTCACTTTCAGCCTCCCACTTTCCTCCTTTCTACTTACATTACTCTTATCCATTTGTCTCAGCTACCCTTAATAACGTTATCCAACTCTATACAAAGCTCTTCATCAAAATTTCATCACTAATACAATACTGTACTGGCATTATAACAAACACTTTCAGAGGATGCCACATAGTAAAAAATATTGATAAAATTACAGACTGTACTGTACCTGCTTGCGGGCTTGTAGGACCTTATGGAAGATAAACAAATTATCTTCATCAGATCGTGAATCAAACTCGTCAGCAATGAGGTGACCGTACTTTGCAAGACTTTTATCATTGATATCAGCTTGAGTCCACAGCCCACCATGAGGACCTGTGGATTACAAAGTTGGATAAAATACAAACAATGAAAAAAGAGTATTTAAGACACCCTGAGGTTTTACCTCCAGTAATTTTTCTATATGTATACTGTAAAGTATGTACAGTGGCTTTAATAGATACATTATGTTATTTTGAAATATTTTTCTCATATATGTGTGTGTGTGTGTTTTTTTTTTTTACCGCAAGCAGTAATGAGTATACAGTATATAGAGTATTGAGATGGTGGAGATGGAGAGACCTAGAGTAGGTTGAGGTGTTGGATGGTGTAAGGGGAGCTTGTTTGAGTATAAAAAGCCTGACGCAGCAAATTTGGCCAGCCAGGGCTGGACATGTGACGCCCGGCAGGGCACTGCCACTGTAGCTATCCCCATCATAGAGCCAACACCTAACCTGTTTCTCTTGAGACTTTCAACACATAAGTTTAACTTGTACTTATTGTGTACACAGGTAGACTGTGTCCACTGCATCGTTTATCATTGTGACAACATAAAAATATGACAAATTAAGTACTCAATGGAAGTGTTAAGATTAGACTAATTACATAGCTATGATTGTTATGTAAATACATATTGGATTAAACATTTATGTATGATTGTCTATGTATGATTTATTTGAAATAACAAAATGAATTGTACTCAACAGGTTTGACCGAATTATAAAGTTCGAGTTTAACGTGAAGAGTCTGATAAACCTTTAAACGCCCGGAAGGCGTTTATAACACACACACACATGCATGCATGCATTCGCATGCACACACACACACACACACACACACACACAGTAATCCCTTGCCATTTGCAGGTTTGTCATCCGCGATTTCGGCGATCCACAATAAGCAGATGGTGGCTAGTTTGCAGGCCTTTTCCCGCAGCACCACATTCAGCATCTTGTGTTGTACAGGTACTCTCAAAAGTTTAGTGTTTCTGTGTGAAATGGTCCCTAAAAGACTGCCTAGTGTCAGTGCTATTGGTGCTAGTGGAGTGAAATGTAAAAGGCAGAAGTCAGTGATAACCCTGACAAAGAAAGTTTAATTATTAGATAAGTTAAAAGAGGGGATGAGTGCTGCCGCGGCTGGTCAGTTGTTTGGTATAGGTATACAATAGTGCACTAAGGTAGTGTAAGTAGCTATTTGTTTTGCCAATTCGTGCCATTTCTTGGAACCTATCCCTCACAAAGGGCAAAGGTCTACTGTATATCATATGTATAATAACATTACCATTTTTCTTAGTACAGTAACACCATCACAACTTACCAGATGCAGATGCTTGATGGTCAAAAGAGCTTACACGTCCAAGCTTTCCTGAAAAACAGACAACAAAATCCTACAAGTTGTATTGTGATATCAAACCTAAAACAATGAACACAAATCTTATAGTACTGCTGATATACTGTACTGTACATATGAAATCTAGTACAAAGAGAAGACTGAAGTAGGAAAAGTTACTCAAACTCCTAACAAAATTCTTATCATTTGACTTATGAAATCAGCTCACTCACATTTGGATTCATTTTAGCTTTTAATACCTGTTTATGGATTTTATTCAAATGCAAAAGAAAAAAGAAAAGATCATCTGCATGAAGTTCTGTAAAATTCACAATGTTAGAAAATAATAAGATATGGGCTCTCAACTCGAGTAACTGTACACAGCCAACCCAAAAAGTATCAAGACTCCAATAATTTTTTCTTTTATTTTATTTATTATTATTTGTATTTATTTCTCACATTTGCTATGACTGTAAAGTGCTTTTGCTCTGTTTTTGTGACTGTGAAGTGAGCAGTGAAACTTTAAAATGTTCTGCATCTGGGAAGGTCAAGACACTTGGGAAAACCATGTTTCTGGAGGTGAAGCTTGACACTGTGAAGCAATCTTAATAATGTGGTGAGTGGAATGTAGGAAACTTCAGCACTACAAGTTGGACACTGGAAACTTCGGCACCAAATTTTTGGCACCCAGGAACTTTGGCACTGGGATTTTTGGGGACCAAATTTTCTACACCATGAAAGAGTGCATATTTACTGTTTGTTTGCTTGTAAACAACGTCCATAAAGGTTAATAAGTCCAATAATACCCTTCACAACCTCACCACAAACAAAGGAAACTGAAGGACAAAACCTAAAAAACTAGAAATATTTCTTTCGGTATCCTCCAAATTTTTTTTGCAAATAAACAGTGTTTCAAAAAAAACATTCTAATAAACAATATCCTTCATTATATTAACATTGAAGGATGTTGTATACTACCAAACAGGCATTAGAAACAAACTATTTATTTGCAAAGGACACTGAAGGATACTGAAGGAAACATTTCTAGCCTTTTAGGTTTTGTCTTTTAGTTTTCTACGAGTTCCTTCGTTTGTGACTTGGCTGTGAAGGGTATTATTTAACCTACTAACCTTCTAAGATTTTGTTTACTAGTAAACAAAATGTAAAAATACACTATTTATTGGCTATGAACACCGACGGAAGCAGTTTTAGCCTTGCAGACTATTTCCTTCGGTTGTGAAGAGCATTGTTTGACTTAATAACCTTTAAGAACATTGTTTCCTAGTAAACAAACAGTAAATATGCACTCTTTCATGGTGTAGAAAATTTGGCGCTCACGTTTCCTAAAGCCGGTGAGTGTTGTTTAATTCTTTTTTAGTTATAGACAAGTATAAACACCCAGTCAAGTGTTTATACCTGGTATTGGCGGACGCCCGTCGCCCGCCCCACAAGGGGTCACAGCTCAAGGTTGAAGAAGTCACAAGTCCAGAAAGCTGTGAGAGCAAACTTTTTCGGAGTGAGAATTGTGAACTCTTGAACAACTGCTAGAGTTGTGACGGCATCGAGTGTGAGTCGTTTCAAGATCAGACTTGACCAACAGTGGAGCAAGTTCAGATACATTAAGGAACCAATGCACACCTAGTGCTTGCCAACTGTGTAACAGAGACGTGACCGACCGCCCAAGCGGCTAAAGAGTCAATCAGTGGCGAAGAGGATAAAAGTAAAAAGTGTAGGATTTTTTTTTTCCGGCGATACATGTTGGTGTTGGACTGGCTGGGAACATATCCCATTGAACCCCATGTTATAATGATCCCAATTTACGATATTTTTGACTTGCAATGAGGTTTTCAGGAACATAACCCCATCGTAAATTGGGGATACCATAATGAACAGTAAACCCTCATTTAACTGACCCATGCAATAAACAACCCACCCCCCAAGGAATGGGTTCAATTCTGCCATACAAGATTATTAAGAACACTTTAGAACCTTTAGGAAATTGATTATCCGCAGGCAACGGAAGAAGCTCACACAACTGAAAATTTACAGCTTCAAGCCAAGGCCTAGTTGGACACTATACCTATACCATCAGGTGTAAGCACTCCCAGCACATCAAATCGGACATCAGTTCCCTCAAACAACATTAACCACAAGTCCAGGTGGAGTCTTCTTCAGACTAAGAATAACTACAGTACTGTGCTGTACTAAGTGCATTTGTTTACGGCAGAGAGAAAGCGAGTGAGTGGGTGAGTGAAATAAAGATGACTGTACATGTACTGTACTTTATGTTATTTCTGTATAACACGATACTGTATATTGTACCTGTATTTCCATATATTTGTACAGTTCTCCCACGCATGATTATTACCTAACTCAAGTGATTATCTTATGCGCTTTAACATATTTTTGGTACAGCACCTCCATTATCCGACTTATTGGCTTTTCCGACCCACCCCTCCCCCCATATAGGTGAGTTAAACGAGGGTTTACAGTATTCTCACCCTATTCTCAGTGAGTAAGTAAGAAATTATGAAATTAACTTCAGAAACAAGTACATACCTCTATACTTTCTGGTGTAGTAATCACTTGTTTCATCACAGTACAGTTTGTTGAGATGCCTGCTGCTTCCAGGTGCTTGTGGTACGGAGACTTCAGCCTGGCACACTTCCTTCTCCTCAGAGTGGTCAACTGGGCAGCGACTGGGGTCAGCAATTGGGAAATATTTCTTGCAGTGGGTCTCGGCTAACTCAATCTCAAGATGATAATTAACACCACCTGATGCAGCCTTGAAGAGTGGAAAACAACACAAAATAAGTTCTGGCTCACTGCTTAACACTATAACTACTTGCTAGCACAAGAAGAACAGTAAGAAATTACATTAACTAAATATTTTCAAAACACTACTGTATAAACCCTATGGATGTGAAACAGAAAATTTTATTTATAATAGGTAAGCAACTCAATTAATATGAAAAAATCAGCTTTAACTACAAAATTTCTATCCACAATCCTTCAGATTACCTTTACAATGTTGAAACTATTTATTTACCTGTTGGTATGCACTGATGACCTGCGTAAGAGTATATACCTCATCTTCGTCCGCCCTCAGGTTATATTGCTCTGTGACAAAAGCAGCAGCTTGTTGTACATTAGAGTCATTTGCTGCAACAGATTGGAAACCTGCACTTGTGTCTTGTGAGACATCCAGGAATGGATGATCCATAAAGTCAAATGAATTGAGGTTAGACATGAGTTTGTGGCGTAAATAGTCATCCAGGTCATCGCAGGTGAAAGAGATAATTTTGCGGAAATCAGGAGTCTGAAGCCATGCCTGTTCATGGACCTCTGCTTTGCACACTTCATGTTCCTCAGTAGGATCCAACAAGCAGTGTTCACCATTGCCAAGTGTTGGGTCAAACTTGCGACAGTTGGTTTCTCCTAACTCTACCACCAGAGTGTACTTCTTTCCAGACACCACTTGTGAGGTTGCTTCATGAACCTTCACCAATTTGTAATATTCAGAATCATCCTCCCGTCTATTGTATTCATCCACAATCATCTTGACCACTTCCATTGTCTCATCATCAATCTCGATTGGACTGTGACCTCCCAGTAATGATGAGCGAGATCTAAATGATGACACTAAGCCAGGTGAAGCAGAGCTCAGGCCACCTCCCAGGGCAACAGGCACAATGAATTCATCCTGGCCTGACTCACGATAATCATCCTTGTCATAACACCTGTGGGAAACAAATAAGTAAAATCAATATATTGTCAATGGTGCTCAAAAGTTAATTTAAATTATTAACTCGGGGTGGACGACAGCTAAAGATTTACAGACCAAGTGACAATGATATTCCTATTATCATGCCTTCATATTTTGGCCACTCTGGTAGGTACAGCTAATACAAATGTACTAATTTTTGAAAGAGTTGAAGAGTGTTCCAAGGGTACCTAAAAAAAAAGTGTATATATATATATATATATATATATATATATATATATATATATATATATATATATATATATATATATATATATATATATATATATATATATATATATATATATATATATATACACATATATAAGCATTCAACATGAATTTGAGTAACGGCATGTACAAGCTGGACAATTTTGTAATTAAGAAGATTTGTGACCAGGTGAGAAGGCCGGGTCACCTGACCATCTGACCTGACCACCAACCATTGTGTGCTATTTAAAGATTAGTAGGGTCATTACCTAATACCTGACCATTGTGGACCTGGTCTCACCCTCCTCTGTATATATACACCTTGATTTGTATATATATATATATATATATGCAGTATATATATGCAGTATAAATATGCAGTATATATATGCAGTATATATATGCAGTATATAAATGCAGTATATATATGCAGTATACACACACACAAACACACACACACACACACATACATACATACATACATACATACATACATACATACATACATACATACATACATACATACATACATACATACATACATACAGTTGAGTCTGGATTTAGGCCGGTTTTTGTTTATGCGTTTGGTCGTTTACATCGGGCCTTGCCAGAATTGAAATGCTTTGATTATGCGGTAAATTTGGTCATTTACGCGGAGAGCAGCTGGCGGTCCAGCCGCGCCGCGCCATTTTTGGATTCAAACCTCCTGCCATCTCCCGCCGTGTTGGGTAAGCGGCGCGAGTAAGGTTGCACAGTATGTCATTGTTGCGTTATCGGTGATGTCATATGACGTATCGGACTGTGATTGGGCCACGCATCCTTACCTCCCTCCCCCGGTAGCTGTGATTGGTTTAATGTAATATGACGTGCCTTGCCACGGGAGGGAAGAAGCCGCTGACCTAGCCGCGTCAGTCGCTCTCCACCCAGTCACTCCGTGTAAACTGTGTTCCATTGTGCTCGCTAATCTCGTAAGAATGGCTTCCGCTGGACCCCCACCACAACAGAAAAACCTTGCATTACCTGGACCCAGCCGCCCCAAGCCAAAGAAGATACGAAGTTCCCTAAGTTACCAAGTTAAGTACAAGATCGTACAAGATTTAGAAAAAGGAACGAGTCAAGTTGATTTGGCGCGCCAGCATGGCGCGAACGAATCGACGATCAGGACTATCAAGAAGGATGCCGCCAAGATAAAAGAACACATGAACATCACAAAGTCTGCAGGTGCTTCAATGATGAAGTACTGTCAGAACAGGGTGCTGCTCAAGACGGAGAATTTACTTGTGAGCTACTTTTTTGGAAAAAATGCCTCGCCGTACATACATTACCAAGGAGGAAACTTCTGTCCCTGGCCATAAGCCAATGAAAGACACGCTTACCCTCCTTCTTTGTGCTAATGCTTCTGGTGACTGCAAAATAAAGCCACTCCTTGTGTGCCACGCAGAAAACCCCAGAGCATTCAAAAACATTAGGAAGACCCGCCTTGGTGTTATGTGGCGGTCAAACCCAAAGGCTTGGGTGATCAGGAATTTATTCTCTGAGTGGGTGATTGAGGTGTTTGGACCCAGTGTTCGGGAATATCTCAGGGAGAAAAATCTTCTGAAAGCTTTGTTGGTGATGGACAATGCACCAGCCCACCCTCCTAATTTGATGGTTGAATTGCCAGAGTTGAACTTCATCACTGTGCACTTCTTGCCACCCAACACAACACCTCTCATCCAGCCCATGGATCAACAGGTAATTTCTAACTTTAAGAAGTTGTACACAAAGGCACTGTTTAGAAAATGTTTTGCGTCCACTTCTTCCAGTGATGTTAGCTTGAAGGAATTTTGGAAGTCACTTCAATATAGCAGACGCTGTTTTTTTAATTACCTCAGCCTGGAAAGAGGTTACTGTGAGGTGTCTTTGTGCTGCTTGGAGGCCATTGTGGCCTGAATGTGTCCTTCAAAGAGACTTTGAAGGCTTCAAAGAGTTAGAAGAAGAGACTGTTGCTCATGAAATTGTGTCTCTGGGCAATTCCATGGGCCTGGAAGTGGATGATGATGATGATGTTGAGGAGTTGGTGGAAGAGCACAGTAAGGAATTGTCCACTGAGGAGCTGCTTGAGCTTCACAAAGAACAAAACGAGACACTGAAGCAGAGCTTAACTTCTGAGGAGTCAGGGGAGGAGGAGGACAAGGAGGAAAGCTGCATCATTCCAGCCAAAGATCTCAAGGATGCATTCTTTTGCTGGAGCAAACTGTCCAAACTTGCTGAGGATTATCATCCTGATGTTGGCTCTGTGCAAAAGGCCATCAGTGTGTTTAATGACAATGTTATGAACTACTTTTGGAAGGTCCAGAAATCAAGGTTGAAGCAGCCAACCCTGGATTCCTTCTTTACAAAGGTAACAAAAGACCCTACAGACAAAGTGCCTGTGAGACAGTCACCAAAGAGGGCTAGGAAGGATGACTCCTCTCCTTCCACCTCTTCTCCATAATTCTCTCCTCCCCCCTCCCCCTCTGCCTCCTGTCCTGCATGCTGAACAACACTAAGTAAGATAAAGTACAATATTTTTTAAATTTTCCACATAATTTTTTCAGTGTTAAGTGGTTGTATTTGGGGGCCTGGAACGAACTAATGCTATAACGAACGAGGTTCTAGAACCAATTAGATTCGTTATAGCATACCCCACTGTATTACATTTCCGTGAATATAGTATATCAAGCACAGTATGAATAGAATATCATTGTAATATAACAGTATTTTAACCGAAAACTATTAAAAACACGAGTAACATCTCTTGAACATCGAAAGGTTAGGTAAAGTCTTTTGTTTTCGTCATGTATTTTATCCAATTTTACATTGAAATACATCACGTTTCAGCAAAACTACTATTTATTTCTGAGAATATATATTCATTCAGGCGCAGTTTAGGTAAAATACACATGTGATGTAACAGTTTTTTAACCGAAAACGATTCGAAAAACACGTACCCTCTAGCCCTGTTCAAGAAGAAGACTGGGAGGAGCTGTTTGGTGCTGAAGACGATGACAAGGAAAATGATTTTGATGGATTTTAATGAAAATATTCAGAAATATGGTATCGTAGTATTTATTCAAGTGAATTAGGATAGAATATCATTGTAGTACAACAGTAGTGACGATGTGGAGGAAGCGGAGGGATAGAGCGGGGAGGAGTGGTGACTGGCGGGAGCAGGGACGAGTGGAGATGCCAGCCAGTACATTACGGGTGTACAGTATTAATTGTTTTTATAGCTCTTTTTGCATTTTAATATTAAATACTGTACATTACATTTCAACAAAACTACTATTTATTTCTGAGAATATGGAAATGTAATATTTTTGCTGAAATGACGTACGTATTACAGTGGAAAGTGGGATAAAATTGTGACGAAAGCAATGACTTTCGCTTCCTTTCGTTCAAAAGATGTTACCGTAATCGCTTTTCGAATGGTTTTCAGTTGTGGGATTATGAGGCTAATGATAGGATAGAATATTATTGTAATACAGTACAACAGTTTTTTAACTGAAAACCAATCGAAAAGCGATTACAGTAAAATCTTTTGAACAACGAAAGAAAGCAAAAGTCATTGTTTTCGTCATGATTTTATCCCACTTTCCACTGTAATATGTACGTCATTTCAGCCAAAATATCACATTTCCATATTTATTTCTGAGAATATAATCATTCAGTCACAGTTAAGGTAAAATATACTTGTGATGTAATATTTTAATGAAAATACAGTATCGTAGTTTTCTTTTGTTTCAAATTTAATTAACAAAGATTGATGTTTCAAATGTAATGAACAAAAATTTATGTACAGTATCTATAAATAAACTTTAAAAAATGAATACTTTGTTTTACATCGTCCTGTGCTACCATACCATGCATTTGGCTACTTTGGGCTTGCTATGATGATGCAAGAGATCTGCCCTGGCAACTGAACCGACACTCACAGCTGGTGGTGCGTTGGTGCGTCGTTTCCATTGTTTACTGGTAGTTACTGGTAAATATTTTTCATCCTAACGAAACTATTACCTGTTTAGAGGTCAACCCACAAATTTTTGCCAAATAATTTGGTCTTAAAAACTCGAACTACACACAGGTATATACGGTAAATAAGGACATGGGGGGCCAGGGGTTTTTTTTTGGGGGGGGGGCAGCAAAAGTACACGGATTTTTAACATTCACGGGTATCTCTGTTACCTAACCCCCGTGTATGTTAAGGGCCGACTGTACTACGTTGACGACTAGCATTGATGGTGTCAAGATAGATCTGGATATACGGCTCCATAACTTTCGTAAGATGGTTATTAGACGCTTCATACCGATGCTTGTCTGGGTCGTTGTCAAGGATGAGCTTAATTTTCTACCCCAAATCGATGATTTCCTTCACACAATCATGGTTTGGTCCAAGTAATTCAATGTTTTTCTCTGGTGGTGGGGGTCCCGCGGAAGCCATTGTGAGTTGTGAGGGGAATAGTGGGCACAAGAGAGAACTGTATACGCGGACTGAGAACAATGAGACAGGCCCTGCTAGGTCAGCGACTTCTACCCTCTGGTGGCAGGGCACGTCATGTTACAGTAGACCAATCACAGCTGGCGGCGGAGGGAATGCGTGGGTGGTAAGGATGCGTGGCCCAATCACAGTCCGATACGTCATATGACGTCAGCAATAACGTAAGAGCGGCCTAATGCGCACCACTCACCTCGCCGCTTCCCGCGCACGGTCGAGAATGGACCGCTTGAATAAAAAATGGCATGGAGCGTCTGGACCTCCAGCCGCTCTCCGCGTAAATGACCAAATTTACAGCGTAATTAAAACATTTACATTCTGGCAAGGCACCGCGTAAATGACAAAACGCGTAAACAAAAACTGCGTAAACCCAGACTATACTGTACTGTACTATATAAAAAAAACTATGGTTAACTTACTGTGCTGAAACAAGATCTCTGGCAGGAACCCATGGCTGGTCAACAATTTGCAAGTCACATATTTTAGTTTCTTCATCTAGATCTTGTTTACAGAAAGTTCTGTTGACATCAACACCAGTCAAAGTCTTCTTGCAGTCTGTCTGTGCCAGCTCAATGGTCAGGTAATACTTTAGACCAGCAACAACCTGAAAATGACATTACAGATTAATGTATATGCTGACTTAATAAAAAATAAATAAAATAAATATGTAAATAATACAGGTTGACAACCCTTTATCCGAAATTCCAAAAACCAAAAAGCTCTGAAAACCGGAAACAAATTTTTGTGGAGCAATTTTTTTTTTTTTTTATATTAGCCCACCTGGGCACAGATCACTGACCCACATCGGGGCCTGGGGGGTGAAAATGTAATAGTAATAATAATTATAATAATAATAATGATAATACAGTAAAAATAATAATTATTCATAGTAAATAAATTTTTTTATAAAAAATACACAAAAATAAAATAAGAATGATAACAATAATAATAATAACAATAATACTGTAATAATAAAATAATAATAATAATAATAATAATAATAATAAAGAAATACAAGAATGAAAAAAAGATCAAAAGTGAGAAACATGACCTAGACCTATGAATTATTATTATTATTAGTAGTAGTAGTAGTAGTAGTAGTAGTAGTAGTAGTAGTAGTAGTAGTATTATTATAATTATTATTATTATTATATTTTAGCCCCCAGGCCCCAATGTGGGTCAGTGACCTGTGCCCGGGTGGGCTGATCCCTGAAAAAAAAAAATTAACCATTCTGAAAACCGAAAAATTTAAAAAACCGAAATACATCTGGTCCCAAGGATTTCGGATAAGGAATTGTCAACCTGTATCTACAATTAACTGAATTAATTCAATCTGGGGCAGATTACAGTTTCCTGTGTCAAAGAAGCTGAGCAAGTACATACAGTATAACTTTATGATTGGACACAATATGTGATCCTACTACAATACAAAACATAGGATAATAAAGATTCTGTTTTTATTCTAGTAAGTCTTTTCCTCTGTGGTGCAAGGCAAAAAGATTGACGAACAACAGAGACTTACCAATCACTTTTGTCATTCACTCTAATACTTACAAACGATGGGTTCTGCTACAGTGTTTTCTTTCCACAACACAGCCCTAAAACTCCTATCTGGTTTACCTGTTGCTTCAAAGAACTCTGTATCAAATCCATCCAGAAAAAGAATGACATGCTCTCCAACCACATACACCCTCTGTTTCATCCTCCTATCTACCTCTCCTTCACCTCCTTAGTCTAACCCCCTTCCTCTCCAACCAACCATGACTGGGGTGCTCTCCATAACAAAATTTGATTGGCTTTCTGTTTAATATTCTTTTCACTTTTACAGTTTATGTTTATTATTTCTTACGCTCCTGTTCCTAAGCACATCATTTCCATTGCTTCTAACTTCTTCCTCACTCAGGTATAATCCAAACCCCACATCTGTACAGTAATGTCAGATAAACAATTCATCTTTACATTTCCATCTTTGTCTCGTTTCACATAGTTCTCGCTTCCCTCTCCCTCCATATATTTCTTACTGAGCCTTTAGGTATTCTTGTGATTATACAATACTCATCATTCATTGTTCCCTTTGCTGTTAGTTTTACCCCTCTTATTACCATATCCATGAATACACTCAACAAGCATGGCAAATTTACACATACTTCATGTAATCCCACTTTCTCTTGCCAACACATTCTAATGTAGACTTTAAAAAAGTATTTTAAATACTTTCAACACTGTGCATATATCACTCTATTACCATATACTGTATACATTTTCCAGAGACATAAATGCAACAAAGTATTTCCTCCCCTTTCTCCAGATACTTTCCACTGATACTCCTCAACACAAACATCTAAACCACACATCCTCTTTCTTTTCTCAATCCAGTGTTCTCTACTTAGCAAACTCTTTCCAGGTTTGCTTAACAAATTTATTCCTCTCTATTTTACATTCATTCCAATATCCTCCCCTGTATACAAGGAAACTACTAATGTTCTCTGCCATATCTTCAGTAATCTTTTCCGTCATGCAAAGCATATTTACTCCATTCTATCCTTTTCACTTCCCTTTCCATTGAGGTAACATCCACATCTTGTGCCTATCCAGTGTTAAGTTTACTTACCACCTGTCTTTCCTCTTCCTCATCTAACATTTTCCCCTCTTTCAACTTTGGTTTATATGTCTTCACATCCTGAAACAACAACTATGCCTCTCTTTCATCTATATCTTTTGCTACATTCATTTTTTTTCGACTCACTAACATTTATAACCCTCATTATAATTTGGATTCTATTTTTGTCCTGAATATTCTGTTCCCTATTATTCTAACTTCTACAAGATGATAGCCAGATACTCTGCAAGCAGTACTTTTACATCACTCATTGTGTATTTCAGTCTTCAGCCCATGAACACATACTATCCATTCTTAACCTGACCAACAGTACAATATTGTATTCTGGTATCGACTCCCATATTTTCCCCCCACATACTATCTTCACACTTCATCACTCAGCAGCAAAGCCACATCTTCTTTTGCTCTCACCTTTTTAGACATTCCTGACTTTACTCATTTCATACTAATTATATGTATACACAGTAAAACACCAATTTTCTTTGCCTTTGTCTTTTTGAAAACATGAACATAAAAGATAAGTTACCATCCATCATTCAAAGTTAGTGAAATGACTAAGCATATTAGTAGTACAGTATAAAAAAAAATGAGTTATTTTAGCATACAGTATTGAATTTTCATTATTACTTCATCAAAAAATAAAAAAAATGGTGAATAAAATTTTAACTGATATTTTGTTCACAAATCGAATCATGGGTCAAACTTCTTTTTTTTTGTAACTTTGGACTTACATAAAATGGACCTTCGTAAATCAGAGCCTGCCTGTAGTGAAAACTGCGTTTCTGTGTCTTATATTTGTGCATAAAATAACATATGATAAGACAGAAATCAACACTGCAGAATTCAAAGCAAAATTTAGTATATTAACCTGTGTGTGAGCTTTCAGGAGCCGAAGAACCAGGTGGAGTTCTTCTTCATCAGCATTCCTGTCGTACTCCTTCAGAGCAAAATCAGCAATCTCCAGGATGGTAGGATCATTGAGAGGGGCTGGCTGAGGGCATCCCGCACAAGGGTATCTCACTGGGATGACCAACTCCTCCTCTACACTTCGCTAAAACAAATTAAACAAAAGCATAAGTACAATGATCACCCTCACCTTCTGACTTTTGGGAATTGACTGATTCATTCACTCAGGAAATATATATGATCTTGTAGGGATTGACTTGCTCAAGGACAGTCATGGACTTATTGATCGGCATTAACTCTCTCTCTTACTTTCATATTAATTTACTGTATTACACATGCTGTTCTTTTCAGGGAATATAAAGCATATAAAAGATAGTGGAGATATATTCTAAGTGAGCTTCAAGCATTACTGCACAAAAAGCTTAGCTAATAATCAACCCAATACAATGATCTAGAAAAAACAACTACCCAGGTACTAATGTTTTATATAGTACAATTAACTCCTTCATAAGAGAGAGAGAGAGAGAGAGAGAGAGAGAGAGAGAGAGAGAGAGAGAGAGAGAGAGAGAGAGAGAGAGAGAGAGAGAGAGAGAGAGAGAGAGAGAGAGAGAGAGAGAGAGAGAGAGAGAGAGAGAGAGAGAGAGAGAGAGAGAGAGAGAGAGAGAGAGAGAGAGAGAGAGAGAGAGAGAGAGAGAGAGAGAGAGAGAGAGAGAGAGAGAGAGAGAGAGAGAGAGAGAGAGAGAGAGAGAGAGAGAGAGAGAGAGAGAGAGAGAGAGAGAGAGAGAGAGAGAGAGAGAGAGAGAGAGAGAGAGAGAGAGAGAGAGAGAGAGAGAGAGAGAGAGAGAGAGAGAGAGAGAGAGAGAGAGAGAGAGAGAGAGAGAGAGAGAGAGAGAGAGAGAGAGAGAGAGAGAGAGAGAGAGAGAGAGAGAGAGAGAGAGAGAGAGAGAGAGAGAGAGAGAGAGAGAGAGAGAGAGAGAGAGAGAGAGAGAGAGAGAGAGAGAGAGAGAGAGAGAGAGAGAGAGAGAGAGAGAGAGAGAGAGAGAGAGAGAGAGAGAGAGAGAGAGAGAGAGAGAGAGAGAGAGAGAGAGAGAGAGAGAGAGAGAGAGAGAGAGAGAGAGAGAGAGAGAGAGAGAGAGAGAGAGAGAGAGAGAGAGAGAGAGAGAGAGAGAGAGAGAGAGAGAGAGAGAGAGAGAGAGAGAGAGAGAGAGAGAGAGAGAGAGAGAGAGAGAGAGAGAGAGAGAGAGAGAGAGAGAGAGAGAGAGAGAGAGAGAGAGAGAGAGAGAGAGAGAGAGAGAGAGAGAGAGAGAGAGAGAGAGAGAGAGAGAGAGAGAGAGAGAGAGAGAGAGAGAGAGAGAGAGAGAGAGAGAGAGAGAGAGAGAGAGAGAGAGAGAGAGAGAGAGAGAGAGAGAGAGAGAGAGAGAGAGAGAGAGAGAGAGAGAGAGAGAGAGAGAGAGAGAGAGAGAGAGAGAGAGAGAGAGAGAGAGAGAGAGAGAGAGAGAGAGAGAGAGAGAGAGAGAAAAAAACCTGGCCCTGTCATTGTGTTGTGATTTTGTTCCATTTGTTATTTTCAAAGAGTTTCAATTTTAATAAAATAATTGTGAACTTTCCTAGGGAATCAGTGACAAAATCCCAGTTACATAAAATTAATTCAATAACTATATCACACACCTTTCTTTCACACCGTATATCAGCATCACCCTCCAGGATCGGCACCACCTCCAGACCTGATATTTGGTTTGGGTTATGAACCACAATAACAGAACAGATGTAGTGGTCACGCTGGACATCTCGGGGACACGACCTGGGGTCAGTCTTCTCGTCGAGTGACTTCAAGCAAAGGTTGAAACCATATTCCACATTCACTTGCACTTTAGTTGTGTTCATTAATGGGTCAAACTGCAAAATATTACCCATAATTAATATATATAAAGCAGTCATAAATAAATTACTACAGCAAATGAAAACTAAAAAATTTCATAAAACTATTTTTATACAGTACTTGATACTTTTCAGCATAAACATATATTGTACTACAGTAAATATACAGAACTTAAATTTGAATTCATCTTAAATCATATTGGCAAATTCAACTTCTGGTACATGTTACTATTAAAAATCACAAAATACCTAATACTGTATATGTATAGTGAAGTACAGTAAGGAGAAATACAGTAATCTCTCCATTAGCCAAAATCTTCTATCCCCAGAATTCTGGCTGTTGCAGAATTCTGGGAAAAATCTCTCCATTCCAAGTATGAGAACAAATTTCCAAAGACTGCACCACGTGCACTTCCGAGAAAATTTCTCCATTCTGGCCACTAGAAAAATTTCCAAGAAAATTTCCATCATGTTTCTGTTGCGGGGACCCACATTTATTTTTTACGGGGATTAGCCCACCTGGGCACAGGTCAGTGACCCACATCAGGGCCTAGGGGGCGAAAATGTAATATTAATAATAGTAATAAAAATGATAAAAATAATAATAATACAGTCAACTCTCGCTTTACGCGGTCCCACTTTACGCGTTTCCATGTTTACGCGGTACCCTGCCGAACACGGAATGCTCACTTTCCGTGGTGTGTGTACCCCTTTATGCGGAGAGCGGCTGTCAGTCCTCTTGCGCCGCGCCATTTTTGGATCCAAACCTCCCGCCCTCCGCCATGTTGTGTAAGCGGCGCGAGTAGGTTGCGCAGTGTATGTCTTTGTTGCGTTATCGGTGACATCATATGACATAGCGGACTGTGATTGGGCAAAGCATCCTTATCTCCCTCCCCGCTAGCTGTGATTAGTTTAATGTACTATGACGTGCCCCGCCGCAGGAGCGTTGAGGCCCTTTGACCTACCCACGTCAGTTACACCCCTCCCGGCTACACTGTGTATATTGGTATCCATTGTTCCATAAGAATGGCTTCCACAGGACCACCACCACCACCACAAAGAAACTTTGCATTACCTGGACCCAGCCGCCCTAAGCCAAAGAAGACACGACGTTCCTTAAGCTACGAAATCAAATATAAGATCATACAACAGTTGGAGAAAGGAACAAGACAGGTTGATCTTGCGCGCCAGCATGGTGTTAACGAATCAACTATCAGGACAATTAAGAAGGATGCAGCCAAGATAAAGGAGCACATGAACATCACAAATTCGACAGGTGCTTCTATGATCAAGTATTTAAACAACCAGGTGCTTCTCAAGACGGAAAAATTACTCGTGAGCTACTTGGTGCGTCAGGCGCGACGGAACATGGCGGTGGACACGCGCTCAGTTAAGGAGTACGCACGTGAACTGTATGCTGCAGTATCATGAAAGATGGGAATTACAGAGACCAAACCCTTTAATGGTTCCTCTGGGTGGTTACAGAGGTTTAAGAAGAGGAACAAGATCACCAATATCAACATTGGTGGTGAAGAAGCTAGTGCTGACCGTGTTGCGGCTAGGGAATATCCTCCGTTTTTACGTGAGATTATGGAGGAAGGACAGTACACCGACGACCAGGTGTTTAACATGGACGAATCTGGTCTTTTTTGGAAAAAGCTACCTTCCAAGACCTTCGTTGTGAAGAATGCCAGCAAGTGTCGGGGCCGGAAGTTGCAGGTACGCATCACCGTCCTGTTTACCACCAATGCCTCCAGTACCTGTAAGCTCAAGTTATCAATGATCCACACAGCACGCAACCCGCAAGCCTACAAGAGCATGGACATGACCAAGCTAAATGTCCACTGGCTGACCGCACGTAAGGCGTGGATGTTCTCTAATCTGTCCCTCTCCTGGTTTGATGACTGTTTCGTTCCCGATGTGAAGAAATTCTGTGAGCAACAGAATGTGCCATTCAAGATTTTGTTGCTACTTGACAACGCACCAGGACACTTTCCCCTACTGTTAGATCGTCATCCCAACGCAAAAGTGGTCTTCCTTCCTCCCAACACTACGTCTATAATACAGCCCATGGACCAAGAATTGATCTGTAATGTAAAAGCTGCATTCTCTGCTAAAAAATTCAAGCTCCTGAACGACTACACCAACACCAAGGAAGAGTTGCGTAACTTGAGTGACACCAACACCGATAGCAAGAGCGAAGACGACGAGGATCAACAGTTGGCAGAGCAAGAAGTATTTTTGAAACAATTCTGGAGAACATTCAACGTCAAGAAAGCTGTGGACTCCTTGGTGGAGGCATGGGATCAGCTGTCTGTAGCAACTGTTCGTCATGCATGGAGACATGTGTTGCAAGGTATTCCGGGTGTTAGGCAGAGTAAATCTGTGACTGGTGAGGTTCAGACTGTTGCAGTAGCAGTGGACCTTGCCAGAGAAGCACCAACGACGACATCCTGGAGGTGATAAGGGATCCTGATGTGACTACCGACGAGATGGTAGATGATGATGACGTCAGTGAAGAGGCAAGTGGTGTTTCATCCCAAGAAGAACGCCGCTTATCCCATAGTAATGTAAGGGGTGCCATCGAGTGTATTGAGAAAGTCAAGCTCCTCCTTTTTGTCGACCCTGACGCTAACAGGTATGAAATCTTCACTACCCAGCTGTTGCAGACTATGGAGCCCTACATCAAGGTTTATCACGACAACATAAACACCAGCCGTCAGCAAAGCATAACAGAGTTCTTCGCCTGCAACCCACCACAGCCAACCCAAGCCAGTGATAGTGACAGAGGCAGAGACAGTGATGATGACTTTGAGGGATTTGTCAGGGAGGCACTAGTAAGTGTGGATGACACCGATGAAGACTCACCTGAGGGCCAGTAGCCTGCCCTCTGCCTTGGAACCAGCCTCCATTCCCCTACGCCGACCCATCTCTTCTACTAACGTAAGTGTTAACCCCAACCTTGTTTTTTTCTAACCTAACCTTCAGTATATTATTCTCTTATTGATTGTTCCCTTCTATATTATGTGTGTGTGAATACCATCATAAAGTTAAGATGTTATTTTTAGTAAAACGTACGTATTGTGTCGGGAAAAAGTGGAGTTTGGGGGTCGGCCCGGTCTCTATTTCAATTAATCCCATATGTTATGTTGTTCACTTTACGCGGGCCGCCGTGGGTTCAATTAACTGCGTAAAGTGAGGGTTCACTGTAATAATAATTATAATAATAATAATAATAATAATAATAATAATAATAATAATAATAATAATCATCATCATCATAATAATAATAATAATAATAATAATAATAATAATAATAATAATAAACCATAAAAAAATACAAAAATTAAAAAAAAAATCAAGAGTCAGAAACAATATACAGTACTGTATGTATGTTGTGTTGTCAATAGTAAGAGATACAATTGAGACCCTGCAATTGTGTTTAAATTAGGCAGAAAGTCAGATCAGCAACCTGGGACTTGGTCACAATTTTCGTAATGCCACATTTTTTTTTTACGGGAATTAGCCCACCCGGGCACAGGTCAAACGATCCACAACGGGGCCTGGGCAGCAGGGTCTACCATTAGACAATACATTATGCTTCCAATATCTTCCTGAACAGTAGTACCTCCCTGTTTGGTAGCTGCCTACTACCTAGTACCTGGATGGGTAGGCTCAGAGTGCTCGTGAACTACGATTGGTCATTAATGTCATGTAACTGCATGGGATGCCTATGATTGGCTGAAGTATCTCAGCCTATCTCCTCAAAATTTTGCATCATGATACTCTTAGTTTATTGTCCGCTGCCATTGTACAGTACCAGCTTGTTCACTCGCTCACTACTGTTTTTGCGTACAATCTGTGTTGTGCAGTACTGTACATTATTGTGCCAGCATATAGTTAGCTATCAATTGCATTAAAACAGTGTTAAGGTGTACAAAGTGATTACAGTTATGTACTGTATGCAGTATTGTATTGTACATTCACTACATGTGAAAGTACCACATGTACAATACAGTACAGTATGTACTTGTACATAGCAGTGAACAGTGTATGCTTGTGTAGAGGGTGCATGTATAAATAATATACAGTGTTTGTGTTTAACCCCTCCTTCATGGACAGAGAGGAGAGTGACAATTAGTAACACCTGCTACAGTAGATGGTAAAGGTAGACCATCCTGTATCATCATATCACCATTTGGCCTGCCTGTATTAGCACCACAGGCTCAAGACTACAGCATCTGCTGGTGAGTACCATACAGTATAATGTATACAGTAGTATATTTTGTTTATTTATAATATATTGTATGTGTACAGTGGCGTTTGCATAAATAAATACAACTCTGTGTCTGTCAGTTCAAGATGCGTAGTTTAGACTCTTGAGAAACTTTCCCCAGTACAGTACCCAGAAAAATTCCAAGGATGAGAAAATCTCCCAATCCCGGAACCGCTTTGCACCAATTATTTTGGCTAACGGAGATATCGCTGTATCACCACAGCTATCTACCTATCTATCCCAGCATAGGTGCCAATCTGAATTGACAATAAAAAGATGTTGCAACTTTGTTTCACCATCAAATGAACATTGAAGCAATGCTGATCCAATGTTCATTTAATGGTGATGCGGATTCAATGTTGAAACAAAGGCAAGTGCCTGCTGGAATATTTCCATCTCTCCAAGGCCCTTACACCTCTCCTTACTACACAAGGTGGAACATACATGTGTCAAAGAACCTCCCTTGTGAAGGTGCTTCAGGAAAGAAAACCAACCTACCATAATGTTGCCAAGGTCAGAGCTGATCAACTCTCCTCTGAACTTAGACTCTGAGCCATGGTCTATATAATTAAATGCCTCAATGCCCAGCTGATTTTCATTAATTCCCTCAGGCAACTCTGCCAGCGTCACATCTGATGGGGAGGGCAACAGGTGATGGAATGATCCCCAGCTGTTAAAGTCGTTGTCATCTTCTGTTTCAGCGCACCTATGGATGAAATACAAGATACAGTACCGTACACTATAAACTGAACAGTAAAGGTGAATCATCATGTAAATAATAAAAAAACACAACTAAAGTACATACTGCACGGTGAAAGCATAATTTTCTCTTACAAAATAGCATATGTTGAACTCACCCCCTAAAAAAGGCTTGAGTGAACAACTTTCTGAATTCCAATATATCCTAATGCACTTTCTTAAATTACCTTACACAGGAGAAAACTTGTACTGACTATATCCTTCTACATAACATTGGAATAAAATTTATATACAATAGTATATGGAATGTAAAGCAGTGTAGATTAATATTACCAAAACAATTAAAAACAACAGGTGCAACCATAAAGTAGACTCACCTGGATTTTTCATCAATAACCTTTGAGCTATTGAGCCACTGCCTTTCCCAAATAACAATTTCACAAATGTGCATATCCTCTGTTGGGTCAAAAGCACACACATGGAGATCTGAAGTTCCAATTGGGCATTTGGTCTCTCCAACCTTCAAAGTAAGGTATACAAGCAAGCCAGACACAACCTGAAAGAAGAAATTATATATTCTTTCTATGTACATACACATAACTGTATCTTTATCATAAAAATCTACAGTTGTTGAATGGTAAATATCCACAAGCTTTTAAGTGTGATTTTAGTTCCAAGATTCCTAGACACTCCTGATGAGTACCTCCTCATTACAACTAGGTACCAACTGAGATATAACATTTCTAAAGCCCTGAGTATCTCACACAATACATATTTTTTCAAATACTGCTCAGTACAGTACTGTATCACAAAATTTCAAGAAAAATCCTATTAATTATGTAACTATATTAACTGTAGGATTATCCATATATAATCTCTACCCACTCTCCAGTAATGTAAATGGAATATGAAAGTAGATTCCACAACCCTGACATCCTATTATAGGCAGTGTACATACACTATACTCAGCCTTCAGTAAATAGGGAGGCAGGGAGGCCAGCACAGCACTTGACTACCTTCAATTCCCCATCTGTAAAGTTCAGTACCTATTCACAGCTTGGAAGACTGTAGATGCCCAAGCCATGAAACAGTGTCTCTTGGAACTGGAGGTGAACACTACGTACTGGGCTACTGCACCCTACTACTGATATGAAAAGGCCTGACAGCCCATTATGAGCAGTGTGGATAATATATACTGTAAATTAAACTTTTTTCTGGTATACAAAGAGGTAGCGTGGCTAGCACTACGCCAGTGGTGGGCACAGCTAAACTAAAAGTTAGCTTCGCTAACAGCTAATCTGCTAACTAAAAAGTTTTCGCTAACGCTAAACAGTTAAAAAAATTAGCGGAAGCTAACGCTAACCGCTAACTTTTATTATATGAATTTACTTTTGGTTTGTTTGTTATTTGGCTCTAAAACCCTTAAAAGCAGACCTAGAGAGCTGAAATTTTCATATGTTGTCTTGTAGATTAAACATAGAGCTTTCCAAAAAGGTATAGCATGCCAAGATCAGATGATGATCAAGGTGTACACAAATAATTAAATGAACTAATAAAATTAAACATTACCAGTTTACATTCAAGTTTCAACACACACTTTATAATCTTTATTAATTGTATGAAAAGACAGAAAGTATTAAACGAATGCAAAACTATAGTACTGTATAGCATAGGTAGCAAATAGCATCATGCCAAGATCAGATGACGATCAATTTATCAAGGTGTACACTGTACACAATTTCACAAATAATTAATTTGCATTCTCATACAACCTATCGGCCTTATTCATTATTCATGTAAATATGCAATACCAACCACATACACATTATACCAGTGCATTTTTATATAACTTATTGTTGGTCTTAGTCATGTAAATAAACAGAAAACTCTAAACTTTAATGAAAAGTAAGTTTTTAGAAAATTTTGTTTGGCACACACCTTGGATGACATCCTGGTTATGAGCTTATGCAGTACTTAGCATAACCAAATATATTGACACAAACAAATCCTATTTAAATTAACAAATAAATGAGAAATGAAATCATACATTAGTTTACAATTACACTCTATGATTCTTTCAACATACACTGACAGTCTTTATTTACTGTAAAAAAAAAGTATTAAACTTTAATAATCGAAAAATTCCATTCACTCTGGCTGCAGTGGCTGGGCCTTCATCATCGCCTCGACGTGATGCTGGTTGCCCTTCATAAACATCAGCCTCTCAAAGTTGCCATCTGACAGGGTGGCCCTCTTGGCCCTCAAGGTATCTTTGCACGTACTAACAGCCAGTCAGCCAAGCGTGCCTGACTGGCTGTTGGAGACACGCGTCGCGGCGTCACACGCTTACAACAGACAGGAACAAACATGTATAAATTTTGTTAGCGGACTTAAAGTTAGCGGAAGCTAAGTGGTCCGTTGATGGTTTCCAAAGTTAGCGAAAACGCTAATCCGCTAACGAGAAAGTTAGCTTCGCTAATTAGCGGAACCATGCCCACCACTGCACTACAGTACACTCAATCTAATTGGTATTTGTCAAATTTAATATGTTTAAAAGATGTCTGTGCAGACGGACTGACGGACCCAAAGAATTTGGTTTCTCTATTGTGAAAATGGCAATCAAAGATAGCATACATCACCTCAGCTACACTATTGTCACTGGAGAAGGAAACTACACTTATGACTTCATTTCCCTGTTCAGTCATGTTTTTATTTCATGGAACTGATGAAGTGTCCCACAAAGACTCCATGCTATGCCTAATTTGAAGATTTAATTCAGCAGTTTCTATAGCTTTAACTTTAACCTATTAGGGTAAAAAAAATTAGGTTGCACCCCAATACTTTTTTCTTAAATGCAATATTGTAGGCCTACTCAGGCATTTTTGTATAGTAAAATGTAATTAATATTGACTTCAGAATATATCCTAATATCAAGTGCACATGACTTCAAAATAGCCTCAAAATGCCCATGATATTGGTCAGATAAAATCTAGGGGGGCCTTACAGCACCAAAAAAATAATAAAATAAAAATCCCAGCTGGGTGGCTTGCTGTGCTCGCCATGTTCCTCACCCACAATTTCTTGGACCCCCGTCTTTTTTATAGTCCTGGACCCGCCCCATGGGGTCTCGACAGTTAATTCATCAAGCAATTTTCATTTGTAATGCGGGTAAAAAAATCACCTTTGGCATTTTATTACATTATTGGCCTCATGAGGAAACAAAGACACTCATCCAATACCTCGGAAACCCTCTCAGGGCCAAGTACAGTGCTATACGCTGTAATACTGTATGCAGATAACAATTAATGTAAAAAGCAGGTTTTGATTACCCAAATCAAGAATGACTTGCCACAATAATGGTATCTACAGTAGAGACAAAAATATCAACTACAGTCAACAAAATCAACTAAAGAAAACAAAATTCATCAACTGTAGACAACAAAAACATCAACTGGACAACAACAAAAACATGAACTGGAAAAAAACATTAATTAGACGCAAAATACAACTTAGATAGCAATAAGACAGCCACCCAGAGACCTTGAGGTAGGCGGCAACACTCCTACATTCATCTAAAGGTTACCAATAGGCCCCGCAGGTGATAAGTAAGTACAGTACAAGGCAACTAATAACTACAATTAACGAGTTCTAGACAATTTCCCAACACTACGACAACTGTGAAAATTTATATTAGGAGAAATCAAAAGATGGTTAATTACAGAGAGAGAGAGAGAGACTAATAAAAGACAAAAGAAAAATAACACTGAACTAAAAATAAATCCTATATATAAAATGTCCAAAGGGGAATAAACGTTACTACGACTTACAGTACTTCTTGACATACCCGTGTTTTTTGTTTGTCACTGATTAGGCTACGCACACACACACACACCAAGTCATTTATCTCAAATAAAAAAAAATCAACATCTATCGACTTGCACAGTTGACATACTTCCTGGATACAATGGGATTTATAACTTTTTTGTTGGTACACGGTCCTCACAGAAGGTCACAGAGATAACCCCCTGTGGATTTCCCTGTTACAACATGGTCTATCTGAGTCCAATTACAGTACTAATATGCAGACCTCTTCCGCTACCAGTTTGCAACAGTCACCATAAGAACAAATGTCAAATATCTTAGCCAGTTAACTGTGAAGCTAAAGGCGATTACTGAACCTGAGACAAAGGTCGAGTCATGAGCGAAGTGAGAAATGTCAAAAGGGCAGAAATGACTCCGAAGAAATGGTGGAAGGTCGCACCAGTACCGACAAACAAAGTGCAAGGGCAACTTAAGTAATCCCTAGTGACCACAGCAAAAAGTAGGCGGAATTATTAACAATGTTGGCATAAGGCCTGTGTGAAGGGAATTGGAAAAAAAAGCAAATATCAAGAGCACGATATAACATTAAACATGAGCAAGCCAATAAAGGGGACTACAGTACCTAAATTAAAAAGAGAAAATAGAATAAAACTGAAGTAAATAACTATAAAAGTACACCATGAAAATCAAGAAGCACAATTTCGTTGGAAGGATGGTTAAAATTGGTTGAGCGTGTATATATATATATATATATATATATATATATATATATATATATATATATATATATATATATATATATATATATACACATATAGTTGCATACAAAAATTCTCTGGACATTACTATCAATATCTGCCATCTACTTCAGTGTCATGTGCTTTACGTAAGGGGAATTGGGATTTTATCAAGTACAGTTTATGTTCCCAATTTGTTATTCAGACATAACTATATACAGCACCTATAATGAACCAATCACACGTATTACCCACACGTAAATGTCAGATACAGTACTCAAGATAGTGACGATTGTCGACAGAATTTGGTCCATATCTATCTGGTATCGATTCCGGTGTAACACTGTCCCTGTCACAATTATAATTGCTTATCAGATAATGATGACAGGATATCTCTCGTTGTGACGACGACAGAAACAGCTGTCAACACTTTATCTAGACCATCAGAGATACCCTAAAATACACGTACTGTAATACTAAATGAGATAAACAGCTTGATTGGCATATTTCAAGCAATGATTCTCACCGAAACTTTTGAGACGTACGGGGTGTGGGGGTTTGAAGACATACAGTACAGTACTGTACTACAGTACATGTATACCAGTAATATTTCTGGGTCTAGATTCTCACAGCCTCTACAATGAATAACCCTGGTAGCTGAATGTGTAATAATGCATCTAACTGTTGACAAGAGCTAAAGCATAAAAATATCTTATATGTATACTTTAGTTTAAATTAATAAGTAATTATATTCTTCTTTAGTTACCCAAAATATCCGTCGCACAAACCCTTGACGATGGTAAACACGCAGATGAAAAAATTACATAGTTAAAATAAGAAAAACAAGAACACAATGAACGGATGCAAACACTCCTTAGTCGAAGGTTATTGAGATGACGTCAAAACTGATTGGACAACCATAATAACAATAATTTACTTGGTAGAGACAACCAAAGACACATTTCAAAGTATTAACATCCCACAACCACTATTCTAA